TTCTGGCAACCAGCCAGTGAGTTCCAGGGGTCCACCTATCTCCACACCCACAGCACCGGAGCTGACAGACACAAGCCAGTGTGAGGGGCTTCTTGACAAGAGTGCTGTGGATCTATCTCGGGTCCTCAGGCTTACGGGGACCAACTGAGCTGGCTCCCCAGGCTCCTTGGTAACTTATTTTTAAGCCATGTGACTGTGTTTCTGATTCAAAAAAGTCAACTGTCAAGTACAAACAAGTACTCAGGTAAAACTTTTCAGGTGCAAGGATAAAAAGGCGTGTATCTCTGAGCACGTAGAGAGCCTGTGCTTTCTCCCCAGAGGAAATGTATTGGAACTCAGAACCAAGGATGAGGAATGAGTCAAGGGGAGGGGACAGGAAAGTCACCCAGGCCCCGGGGCCGGGGGGATATGTGATGGTTTGAAAAGATATGGCCCCCGTGGACTAATGTGTTTGAATGCCTGGCCCATGTTGGAAGTGTGTCACTGGAGGCCAGCTTTCAGTTCTTATATATGCTCAAGCCATGCCCTGTGTGACACACAGTCTCCTTCTGCCTGTGGATCAAGACTCTCAGCTCCTCCAGCACCATGTCTGCCTGCACGCCGCCATGCTTCCCAACATGATGACAGTGGACTAAACCTCTGGAACTGTAAACCAGACCCAGTTAAATGTTTTCCTTTGTAAGAGTGGCCGTGGTCATGGTGTCTCTTCAAAGCAATGGAAACCCTAACTAAGACAGGATGGCAGGATGTTAGGCAGGCCCAGTGCCGTACAGGACTGCCCTCTGAACCAAACTGCCACCATCTTCATGGGCTCAGCTGTATCTGAGTCAAAAGATCCCAGTAGGTTTGTAGACTGTTGGGTTATGGCACCCTCGCCAGAGCATGCAGCCACTCCCCACAGCCAGTTGTATGCACTTCTGCCCTAATTGCACGTGGCCTCTGAGAGAGGCCAAGAGAAGAGACTCCATCTATGAAGCTATGGAGAGAAGCCATCATCCAACCTGGGTAAAGATTTTCCAGGCATCTCGGAGAGGGGCTGCCCACACCTCTGTCAGTAAACTTCATATTTACACTCTGTAAGTAAACCCATATGCTCGCTTGCTCCTGGAGCGAACTATGATGGCCTCGTACCTCGGTATGTCATTGGGATGGTGGGAACAGGAAGACCTTATTGATGCCGCCCAACCCCCACCCCCAGTATATCCTAGGCCTCCTTAAGATGAGGGCAGCCATCTCCCTGTGCTCATAACTATACACAGCCTATGCTGACAGCTCCTTCCCACCTCCAGATGGGTAGATCTCCAGATGTGCCTGCCAGCCCCCATGAACCCAGTTCAGCCCTACTTGACTTCTTGAAAGCCAGGTATTGCTAGACTCTTAGTAGACTAAGAGAGAGGGAGGGGGAATATCCTCTTTCTGTCACATGGTCCCCAAACACAGGGGCGTCCTGGAGGGGTTGGGGTAGGAGCAGGTGCAAAGCAGCAAGAGAAGATGGCAGCTTTGTAGCCTTCAGAATGACTGGAGTGCGGCTGAAGGTGTGCCAGGCTGAGGCAGTGGCTGTCTTCCTTCACTCCCATGATCCTTTCTGCCCCTGTGACCTGGCCCTTCTCTAGCAAAATCCAGCTCATACCCTGCACCTGCCCTGCTCTCCTCCTCCACTGTTCTTACTAGAAATTTCCTTGTGGGGTTTTACTGCAAAGCCCCACAAGTTGAGGCTGGAGGGATGAGCCAGCAGTTAGTAAGAGCACTGGCTGCCCTTCTAGAAGACCTGGGTTCAATTCCCAGCACCCACATGGCAAATTACAACAATTTGTAACTTCAGTAGATCCAGGAGATCTAGTGCCTTTTTCTGACCTCGTCTGGCACCAAGCATGCACACAAAACATCCACGTACATTATATTAAAAAAAAAAAACAAAAAACAAAAAAAAACTTAAAAAAAAACCCCACAGGTCTTCAAGTCAGAATTCAAGCCTGACTTTTGGGGCATTTAGCCATGTAGTCTAAGAAAGGTTCCATCTTCCATAGAATACTGACTACCAACTCCCTACCCTTATACCTAGCCCCCTTTCCTGGCTCTCAAAAAAATAAAAAATAAAAAATCAGGCTGTGGGCAGGGGTAGAATGTTTGCCCACCATGTGCAAGGCCCTGCATCCCATCTGAAAAGGGGGAAGAGAATGGGAAGGTGAGGAAAGAGGAGGGAAGATGGAGGAAGGGAAAGAGAAGAGGAGGAGGAAGAGGGAAAGAAGAAAACACCAAAACGAGCATTCATGGAGGGAGGAAGCCCTGGAGATAAAGAATCTGAATAAAATAGATAGCCCAAGATGGATGGTGTCCACTTCCTGACTCTCTTCTTGCTTTTGTGCAACGGCAGATACATGGCCACTTCTGAAGTGAGGAGATGGGGTGGGTTGGCCTGGAGGCTCCCTGAGCCAACATGGAGGACCCCAGGGTAATTCACACCACTGACACTAGGTGTGGCCTTCTCGAAGATGGAGTGGTCCCATCTCACGCCTCAGCTGTTCCTTCCCAAGGGAGAGGTTCCAACCACTTTGATGACATGGTGGCAAAAAATAGGCTGCAGCTGCTAGAGCTTCTCAGATGCTCTGAGAATCCAAGGGATAAGGCCCAAGGCCATTGGGCTGAGGACAGTTCCTTCATGTCGGGAAGCCTTTAAGCTTGTGTGGGTGACTTAGGCAGTAGGGAGGTCTTGTTTAAGGCAAATTCATGGTACAAGGTGACTCTTTCCCAGGCCCTTGAATTGAGAAGCCAAGAAAGGTAACTTTTCCTGCAAGCTCACGACTTCCATCTGGCACAATAAGCAGAAAGCTATTGTCCAAAGGGCTTCTCTGCCCTGATAAGGCCAGGAAGTGAGCTTGGGTACCACAGCCCTTGTCTCCATGGTTACAGGCTACCCCCTCTACAGCCATACTACCAATACCTAAGAGAAGGCGGGGTCCAGAGCCCTGGGTCCAGACAGGTTGAGAGGCTCCAGGAGGAGGAAGCAGGAGGTGTGGGTCCAGGCATCTGCCCTCTCTACTCTCAGCTCCTGACACACTCGTCCCCTTGGCTCTAACATCGTAAGGTGGCCGATGCATGCCAAGTGCTGGGTACAAGACAGAGGGAAGGTAGACAGATGTCCTTCACCCATCCCTCAGGGATGAAGGCGAGGCAAGAAAGGTGAAATTTCAACTCTCCAAGAAATAACCCCTGTAGGCAGGGCCAGTGGATCCTGTGGTACCCACTGCCTTCCAAGCCTGCAAATCAGCCCCCCACCAACTCTAACTTAAGAAAGCATGCAGGGTTGTATAACACGAAGAGCTGCCAAAGATGGAAGATGGGCTGAGGAAACACTGTATTTTCTCCCGCTGCTAGAGAAGGCCGAGCTTTCCAGCCCTGGCTACCCTCTCCTCCAGCCTTCTGCAGGGCCAAGGGAACTAGAAGTGGCTTAGAGAGCATTCTTGTGCCTGGAAGCCATGGTAACAAGCAAGTGCACCCAAGGACCCATCAGAACCCTTAACCTCAAGGTACTTCAGCTGCCCAAAGAGGCCACACGTGCCAAGCTCTGGACTCTACCCATCCTACTGGTACTACATGAGCCTGCAGGTGTAGTTAGAGGCTGCCTGTCTCTGCATTCCTCACTGGCATCAGAGGCCTGCCCTAATCTTGTAAACCTGATATCACAGTGCAGCCAGGCAGACAAGGTCCAGCAGGACTTAAAAGTGGACAGAGACCTGGCCAGGATTGGCTCTGGGAGTTGGAGCTTGGCTGACCCTCTGCACTAGGATCTTCATGCCCTGAGGGAAGGGGGGTATAGGAGAGGGAGGCCAGTGTGGAGACTTGTAAAACAGAGAAGAGGAAGTTTGGTAAAGCCAGCACTCTAGGTACAAATTTACATCACCAATGACCAAGAAGATTCAGAAACTGAAACCAGGAGCTGCTTCCAGATCCATCAGGATGAAGCACTTCTGCGTCAGAAACTCTTCTTCTCAGAATCCTGACTTGTACCAGCTCTCCAGAGACCGAGCTGTGCAGGAGATCCACACCTGTGACCTTGTCCCCCATCTCCATCCTCCGGTACACAGCAGAGCCAGCATCCAGCAGCCTCTACTCCCATGGGCTCCCCCACACCCCTGCCCTACACTACCAGAGACTCACAGGAGTCCACCAAGGCAGGGTCTGAAGGCCTGAAAGATGATACCAGCTGCTACGCTTCTGTTTGCAACACATTTGAGCTAAAGATTTCCACATAAAAAGCTCCTTTTTTTGTGGGCCTGCCAGGGCCAGATGGGAAAAGAATGAGCCTGGGAAGCTGGAATTAGGATGTTTGCAGTGGCTACCACGGCCACTCCTACTACCACCGTCCTGACCTATGAACCAGACCCCGGCAAGCCAGGCAGAGGCCGAGCCAGGAGCCACAGACAGTGCTCCCCTTCCAGAGGTCAGAAGGGTGAAACATGCAAAGAGGGATTTCAGAATTCCTGTCTGTAGAGTCTAGCAGGAGTGGGTTTTGGAAAACCAAACCCATCCTCCTCATCACCACCTCCACCACTGTTACCATCGCCAGTGGGGTCACCGTCCTCACTTCCCCTATTTTCATCACCGTTGGCACCATCAGCGCCACCAATCACCATCGCAGTTGTCATCGACATCACTTTCCATCCGTGTCATCGCTACCATCATTGTTGTCATCGTCATCATCCCCATCCCCCGTCACCTGCATCGTCATGCTTGCCACACTCACTTAGTTCTTCTCTCCCTGCACATTCTCTCGTCTAGGCCACACTGCCACAAAAGGTGCTGCTACAGTCAACTCTATTCTCCATGCCAGGAAACTAAGGTATTTGCCTAGAATCACCAGCTCTCGAGGAGGAGCCACGTACATTCAGCTGATCTGTGGGATCAGAGGCCTGACAAAAAGTGCGCCACGCCTGGAACCCATGAGGGCCACCCCGGCCCCCACCGCTGCTCTCCCAAGACCAGACCATCCCTGTTCTTACATGGCCAAAGGGGTCCAGGTGGTTGTTTGTCAGCTTCAGCTTCTGGAAAGAGACCAACTGTCGCATCCAGTGGGCCCCGGTGGCGGGAGAATCCGGATGGACATACAGCCTCCCCGGCATGGCTGGCTCAGCCTTTCCTGCAACCATCCTGTGGACAAAGCAGACAGCAGGAGCGTTGAGGCTACTGGGATCTGGTGCTGCCTAACTTCCAGGTTCCCTGGGAGAGCAAACCAAGGCCCACAGCGCCGATGGGGGGAGGGGAGAGGAGGAGGAGTCAGAACTTCCCACCTTCTTCACTGCTTTAGGAAGAGGGTGGGGGGATGCAGGAGCAGTTACTTCACAGCCTGAGGCCGTTTATAAAGACGCTTCAGGGAGAGTCCAGGCACTTCTGTGTGTTTTATTCATTTATCCGCAGTGCTTTAACCCCTGAGCTACCTTCCCACCCCATCCCACCCTTATATGTATTTTATGTTTTAAATGTTATGAATGTGTCAGCTGGAACTTCTCAAAGGACCCAAACAACTTGCTCAAATCCAGAGCTTGTTCTGGGTTCTAATGTAATGCCTGCTTCTGCGGCCTCCACCTCGGAGCCCAGGGGCCCAGCCAGGTGTTCTAGGGACAAGCAATGGTTCTAAGATTCGGTACTCATTTGCCCCTCCAATTTGCCATTCACTCCCCCAGGGCTCTTAGCAAGGGCCCCACTGGGAGGCCCCTCAGTCTGAAGCCAGGCCAAGAAACAGGAGCGCCTCAAACCAAGTAATGTCAAGCAAAATGGCCCCCCCCTTCTCCACCCCGGTGAGGTGTCACCAGTGCCTGAAGCCACCAGGTGTTACTTTTCCCACCACTAGACAGCACCAGGCTGTCCGTGACCGTGGGGGGGTGGGGGATATGGTGCCTCGAGGTCCAGCAAGCCTGCCCGCCTGCATCCGCCCCTGCCCAGGTGCGGGCGGCAGACCAGCAAAGCCAAAGAGCAGCTGAGGGAAGCCGGTCCTCCCCTCCCCACCCTCCTCCCCCGGGGTCTCTCACCATTTGTTGTCACAGAACTTGTAGCGATGGTCGTCGGCAGGGACGATGTCAATGAGCAGGATGTACTTGGTCTTGGGGTTCATGCCTGTGACTTTTACCTTGTAGCTGGGGAACATCCTCCTGAGGGAGTCAGGGGCGGAGTCGGGGGCAGAAACAACAGGGTAAATGGAAGAGCCCTTTTAGCCAGAGGTCCTGATGCACTTCTCTCCCGCCCTCTCACTGTACCACAGGATAGAGCTGTCTAAACGACACCACCCCACCCGCTGTCGATCTACATCCAGAAAGACAGTTTATACCTTTTATCACCTTCCGGCCCTGGGAACCCCTCCCCCACAGTTAGGTTCCAGTAGCTGTGAGCCACAGCAGCGGAGACCCTGCTCAGGATCGTGAAGGGGGATTTCAGCAGCAAATCTGGTTGCCGTAACTTGTCCCCGGGCCCTTGCCCAATTACATACAGCTAAAATTCTGAGGTTCCAACATAGGGGGTAACACAGCTGACCTTGAACCCCCCAGTGAGCTGCCCCTCTCACAGGGAAGAGAGCTCTGTGAAAACCCTGCTAGGCCTGGGTTCTTCCTGTGTGTGCTGCAGGGGTATTTCTCACGGCACATGCCTCACCGAGGCCATAACACCTTGCCCAGGAATCCAGGAAGTCAGCAGAGATGCCTCGCAGGTGAAATCAGCCTGCCAGTTCCCAGCCAGGCACCACCATCAGCTAAGACCTCAGGCCACCTGCCTGTGGGTCTCCTGCGCCTTGGTTTCCCTACCTCTCAAGTGAAGATAATATACTACTATTGCCTCCGGCCCCTGCTTTGTTCTACCTTCCACAAGCTAGTGGTATGGCCTATTTCTGTGAAAATGGACCCACTTCCTTACAGCCCACAATGAAGCCCCCTCCAGGGCCCTGCTAAGGCTCGGGAAACATTCTAGGGGAGAGAGAGAGAAAAAAAAAAAGCACCTTCCCTAGGCCCTCAGCATATTCATATAAACCTGCAAGAGCATAGGACCCTCTGCTCCTCGTTAACCAGAGCAGGCCACAGAGAACAGCCACGCACCCCTCCCCTGACAGGTGCCTCCGACCTCTCCCCAGCTGACTACACAAACGAGGGCTGGAGATGAAAGCTTAGGTGTAGACCACTTGCCTAGAATGTGCTGGGTTGGATCCTGAATTATACAAGTCACATACTCCATTTAAGCTCAGCGTGGCCATAACTGGCTTATCATTCCAGTGCTCAGGGAGGTTGAGCCAGGAGGACAGTAGCTTAGAGTCCAATCTGGACTACACACCAAAATCTTGTCTTAAACAAACAGAAAAATCATCAGGGCAGTGGTGGTGCACACCTTTAGCCCCAGAACTTGAGAGGCAGAGGCAGGCAGATCTCTGAGTTCAAGGCCAGCCTGGTCTACAGAGTGAGTTCCAGGACAGCCAGAGCTACACAGAGAAACCCGGTCTCGAAAGAGGAAAAAAAATTACTAAAGGGTTCTCCAGAAGAGAAGCAGGGCCCAAACATGGAGACATACGAGTCTCAACCCTCCCTCCACTGTGCTCCTGCAAATCAAGCCAACACCAGGAAGCTGCTCGCTCAGCCAAAGTCAGCTGGAGAGCCTCACAAGAAGCCGCCCCGCACACCTCAAACAGGCTGGACCACGCCGCCCCTTGGCCCCCATTTTGTCAACAGAACTAGCTTACCTGGATGGGGCAGGGCTTCCTGCAAGAATAAAGGTCCCCACAAGCTGGCAGACCCTACAGCAAGCTGGGACCCTGAGCAGGAGAGTTCCGGGAGGGTTGGTTCCCCTCCAGGACCTGCCCAGCCCATCCCATGCCCCTCTCCTGCTACAGGAGAGACTGGTACACACACAGCAGAGAGAAGTGCCAGGCGCATGTGCATGAGCATGCGCGGCAACTGCGCATGTGTGCCTGTATGCGTGCCTGGAGGGCAGGGGGTGTGTGTGCGCGCAGTTCTAGCTGCAAGTCTGGGGACTTATAAACCGTGTGGAAGAATTTGTCTCAGATGTCAATTGAAAGCATTTTCAAATATCCACCCCACCCCCTCTCCAAAGATGGGGGGAAAGCCAGAGGACTCAGGAACCCAATCCAGGCTCCTCCTTCGAACCAGTCCCCTGCCCAGCATAGGGGCACAGCTGGAGTGGGCACCACCCTGTTTCCTGGCCCTGCCTCACTCCTAGTGGGCCTAAAGCTAAAAGGGGGAGGGCAGCAGCTGCGTTGCCTCGCCCTCCCTGGGGTTAGGCCAGGAACCCTGTCCCCTCCAGGCCACCATTTCACAGCTGCGGCAGAGACAGCAACAAAATGGGGCAGCCCTGGCTGTGTTGGGGTCGCTAGGCCCGGGGAGTCAGTTGCTGCAGGTGGCAGCAGCAGAGGCTAGCCAGGAAGAAATGCCTGGCTGCCACCACAACAGTGCAGACAGCCGGGATGGAAAGGGGGCTGAAGGGCTTCTGCCTTCCCACTCTTCTCTGCGTGCCACTAGGCCTCAGCAGCTCAGAGGAACAAGCGGACACCGTGCTCCTGAGAAGCCCCCTGTGCTCTGCCTCCCAAGGCTCAGGGCCAGGGTCTGTCTGCTTCCAGGGGCTGACCATGGACAAGCCACTTTGGGGAGGTCTTGAGGCCCTGCTGTAGGAAAGGAAGAGTACCCCTTGCCCTCTCTCTGCCTCTTCTGAGGGCAGCAGCTTCCGGGGCCTGTGGAACACACTGTGGGGGTCCTAAGCGTGGCCACCCACCCCACCTCCACCACCCAGCTGTCGGTGCAGGGTGGAAGGGCTGCTGCATGAGAACGGTGATGTGTACCGCTCCCAACCGCACAGGCATCTGCCTTTGATTTAGGAAAGGGCTAGTGATGGAACCCAAAAGGTCTAGCTTGCCACTAGCTGCTCAGGAGAGCAGGCCTCCGCGCAGAGGCCAGCCTGGAGTTTGGGGGCTGTGACTTCCTCGTTTGTTTCCCTACTGGCAAAGTAAAGGTACCTCCCTGATGAAACGCACGCACGGAGCGCCCGATCGCGTGGGCTAGGTTATTTCTGACCTAACGACATTGAACACACCTGAAAACCAAACACCTTCGTGGGTGGGGGGGGAGGGCGGAGCAGGAGGGGAGGCTGCCCCTGGCCCCGGCTGCTCCGCGCCCAGCGTGGCCCGCTCCCTCCCCTTCTGCTCCGTGCACCCTTCCCGCTTCTCCCTCTCTGCCGCCCCGGGTGCCCGCACCCGGCGGCCAGCACGCGCGGAAGCGGCTCCGCCGGGGGAATAAACACGCCGGCCGCCTGGCCGCCCGCCGGGAGCAGATGAAAGCCCGGACCTCCCCTCTCATCAGCAGCCGGCCCTGAAGGGATACGGGGAGGCCGAAGCCTTTATCTGCTTCATACTTCGGAAATGGCCTTAGAATGAGCTGCTAGAATAGGCCTCTCCCATGGTGCAGGCTTGGAGGGGGAGGGGGCCGGTGTGATTTGGGCCACAGATCTGTAAATGTGGGACACGTCCATCGGGGATGGCTGGGCTCCCCGGGTCTCATGGTTGTCAATTCAAAGCGCTGAATTAGTGCGCACCCTCACCTCCATCCCCCATCCTGAGGACAGAGTGGAAATCAAGATCCCGGAATCGGCCAGACGCTCCTTACCTAGCTGTACCCCCAAACCCCACCCACCGCAGCCTCGGCTTCCCTGAGGATGGAGGCCCGAGGCGGCTGCACGCGCCTTTCCTTAAATCCAGGCATTAAAACCGCCGCCACAGAAGGCGAGAGGTGTGGAAAGTGGTTTTCACAGAGCGGTGGTGACCTGGAGGAATGCTAGCGGACGAGGGAGGGTCTCCCTTTCTTGGTTACACCCTGGGTTCATTTTTTTTTTTTTAAATTCTATAGAGCTGTAAACTTCAGATGCACCAGTATTCCCTTGCAGAAATATTCCACTTCAAAGACGAAATCTACATTTAAATGACGTGTGCTTTTACACACACACACACACACACACACACACACACACACACACACGGTTCCTAGCTTAGAACCTTGAAGAAAAACAAAATGCAAAGTGAGTTGCAGGAATCACTGGCCCATCATTCTAGCCTTTAAATCCTGGGGTCTTGCTGGGAAAGGGTGGGGGTGCTGCCTAGGTTCAGGCCAGACCTTTCGGAGCCAAGCGTTTTCTGAAAGCACTACTGTCTCCTGTTGATTCCCAGAGAGAGAGAGAGAGAGAGAGAGAGAGAGAGAGATTACGCCTTTCTCACATACCCAAAGCACTTTTTAAAGACATATTTTCCCTGAGGAAAGGGATGAGGGGAGGGTGTGTGGAATGGGTGCTGTTTGGGAAGGTCAGCTGCTTTGCTTGGATTTTTTTTTTTTAAGGCACTTCCTTCTGATAGACTTTTGCTTTCAGAAAATACTTTAAGAAGAGATCAAAGCACTCTCTCCCCAACCCACTTTCCCAGTGTCTTCAGCCCTTACTCCTCTTATCATCCACGCCACTGGGCTCTGACGCTCTGTATACAGAGCAAGGGCAATTGGCTTTGAAGCCCGGGATTAAGCCGGGCCAAATCCTTGCCTCAGAATAACAAACAATACAGGTTCAACAGGAGTTCTCATCGGTAGTTCATTTTTCAAACACAAATTCACTGTCACTAACACAAGCAACATTGAACTCAACAGGCTATGAAGGCTGATAGTGGAGATTTATCTGGTGGCAAAAAAAAAAAAAAAAAAAAAAAAAAAAAAAAAAAAAAACCACATGACCTAGGATTAGGGCAATCAGATGGGTAGGAAATGTTCATTTTGGGAAAGTTTATATTTGATTGTGTGTGTGTGTGTGTGTGTAGCTCACTTTTATCTGTGTTTGGGAGAAAAATGCAGTTTCTCACATGTATCAAGCTTGGAAGAGATATGAAGCCAAGAGAGAACTCTGTTCCCTGCCATGACCAACACAAGCACTCTGGCTACAAGAGCCTGAGAGAAATTGAGGCTGACTGGGGTGGGGTGGGAGTGGGGTGGCTCTCATGTGACACCTGGCATGGGGGGGTTTCTTCAGCATTTTAGTCAAAGCTGCTATCCAATGAGGTTGACTCTCTTTTTCCGTCTGCCTTCAGATTTTTAAGGACCCCCAATAGTCAGGAGACGTGTGAAACCATGAGCTTGTGAAACCATGAACTCTAAAGGGCTTGAGAACATGCTGGTTCCTTTCTCCAGGGCCCCATCCTTCCCGGGGCAGACAAGAGTTATCCTGCCCCCATGGAGCCAGAGTCTCTAGGACCAAACACTCCGACACTGCACAGGGCTGCCATTAAAGAAAAAAAAAAAAAAAAAACAACTGTGGAGATTTCTCAAAGTTAAGGTCTTGTTCTGGGGGTGAGGTGTGCAGGCTGCTTGGCTTGCACAGCCCTGACAATTCCCTTCTCTGGGGTTTGGTTTGTACTTTCTGGTTTTGGGTTTTTTTGTTTTGTTTTGTTTTGTTTTTCCAGTTCTTACACCTAGGAATCTATGGTACAGGGTGCAGGAAAAAGTGCCAGGCTGTCTTCTGGTACTGGTAGACTTGCAGAGTTTGGAAGCACTGACTAGGTAGAGTTCGAAGACGAGCCCACAGAGCAGGCTGCGCCCAGAGACCACAGGGCACAGTGAGCAGATCCAGGAAGGCAGCCGGGGTCTGGCGGTGGAGCTCACGTGCTACATGCTAAGCCATAGCAGCGTGCTTAGTGTGTGCAAGATGGCGTGGATCCTACCAGCCACCTCCCCCGCCCAAAAGACAGCAGGAAGGTTTGCAGGAAGAAATGGGATCTGAGGTGGAAGTGGATGAAGCTGGTGAGCTTTTCCGATTATACTTGGCATACTGCTTCCCAGAGAAATGAGAGGATGTGAGAACCACGTAACCGCCCGGCATCCTCACAGCCATTTTTAAATTATCAGCGCCACCCCTGAGGTCCACCGCTAGGTAGAGTCACCAGGATAGGGTGCAGGTTCCTCACTGAGAGGGCAGTAGCCTCCGCAGTGTGGATTTGAGGGCTCGTGTTGGGAGTAGGAAGGACCCACTGAAAACCACAAACTCCTATGCCCAGAGAACATGCCCGCCATGTATTTCCAAGAGGCTAAAATCTACAGATGTAAATTCTGGAGTGATCTTTCCTCCCCCCGCCCCCCATGTCAGCAAGCATGAGAGAACAAGCTCCCTTTCCTCACACTTGAAATGCACCTGACTGACGGTTTACCCGTGCCATTCCGAGGAGCCCCAGTTTTGAGTCCCACCATTAGAAAAGACAGCAAGTACGCACACAGTCACCATTTCAAACACTTGGGTACCACAGAGCAACAAGACAGTAGTTACTTGGCCAAGTGCGCGCAGTTGGAAAGGGGCAGACCTTTTGACACCTGCCCCTTTCTCTGTTCCCCAGGACCTCGCCACAAAGTCACCCTCCGCCAAGAATACTAGAGTGTCCTTTTCCCCCTTTAGGGCAGCAAACTTGTGCCCTAAAACCAGCCTTCCTCCTCCCCTGGCCATGCCATATATTTCCATCTCCAACATAATAAAAACAAAACAAGACCTTCATAAAAATCATAATGCCTCCTGGGAGCCAACAGGAGGAAGCCCAGGACCCAAGCGCTGCACCCAGCACCCCACTGGCCTCGGTTTCTTTTGAAACAGATCTTTGTCATGTGCTTTATGGGCGGCTGAATGATGCAGGGCATTTTCTCCGTGGGCGAAATGGAAGCAGGTACACACTGGGTTTGGCCCTCGGCTGAGGGCTGCACGGATGGAAAGAGAACACGCCTCCCACACTGTCCTCCCTAGCTCCACAGCCCTGCCCCCTGATGGCTTACCATCTTCTTTCTCCAAACAGCGATTTCCCCGGGGCCCATCACCAGAGACATGGTCTCTCACTTAACTTGTCACCAGAGACCAAAACCAAGAGTATGTAGATGCAGAAGGGGCAGGGGATCCACAGCAGCTCCCTGGACCTTCTCCTTCACCTGACAACTGCTCTGTTCGGCCACTGCTGCCCTGTGCCAGGCCAGGCACCCCACCACAGCCAATATCTGCTCTGCACACACTCCAGGCATGTGACCACACACACACACACACACACACACACACACACAGAGAGAGAGAGAGAGAGAGAGAGAGAGAGAGAGATCTGCCTTCCTCTTCTCTCACCCTCTCTCAGGCTTCTCTCCCACAGACACACCAGCGCATTTTAAAGATGTTTCCACTTTATAAATCACCCTTCTCTGGCAGCCACTAAGAGCTAGGGAGGCTCGGAAACAACAACACAGAACCAAAGGGCCGAACCTTCCTTTAGGCTGAGGGAGTTGCCTTGGGATAAGAACCTGTAGTTCGGCGGCGTCGCTCCCAAGAAGTTAGGGCGACTGAGAAACCTCAGCCCTTCTGTCACCACTAGGTCCCTAGGCAGATGAGGCCGGAGAAATCCCCGGGAGGGCAAAGCACCCCTGCAAGGGCCTCCAGGCCTCCGCCCTGGTTTGCATGTCCTCAGCATACTACAAGTACTCCTTCGGTACTTCTGCCGGAGCCTTCAGGCCGGCTCGGGTCCTCTGAAAATGTCAAAGCTGGGGGCCTGGCAGGCCGCTGCGGGACGCAGAGCTTGGGACCCCAGTGGCTGATAAATTTCCCACTGGCCCCTGACCTGGAACCCAGAGGACCGCCGAGCACTCTCTCTAGGGGATCCCCAGCCCCCACACATCCTCCTGTCTCCCCGGCTACTGCGCTGCCCACCTGCCTGCCGCCCTCCCCGCGCCTCTCCCCACGGCTGACCTGCCCGCCTTGGTGATGATCATCTCGGTGCCCGCCTCGTGGAACTTCTTCCACAGCTCCTTCTCATGCAGCCCCACCTTGATGTTCTCGATGGCCTGGCGACAGGAGGGAGGGGAGCTGGTGGGCCTGGCTGGCCCGCAGCTGGGCTCCACGCGGGGCGCAGACCAGCCGGGGGCGCAGAGCGCGCCAGCCCTGGACCCACGCTCCTCGAAATGGTTCGTTTCACAAAAAAATTATTTCGAACCATCACCATCGGCGACTTGGCGACTTTGGATCAGGTGTTCAGACTCCCTCCTTTGGGGGGAGAGGCCTCCAGAGAGGACGCCACAGCTGGACCGAAGCAAGGGTCCAGAGAGGCGAGGGCCCGAGAAGGGGATATGGGTTGCGGTGATGTGCAGGGGAGCGGTGGCGAGAAAGCCTTCTCCGTGCGCCTCCCGTGGCCCCCTGTCTGCCCCGCTCCCTGGCTCTCGCCCTCTCGGGATCCTGGGGGCTGGACGTCGGTTCGGGCTCACCCCCTGCTTTCTGGGGCTGCCGCGGAGTCGGCCCCGGGGGTTGGAGGTGGGGAAGCCCCCCCCCCTCGAAAGCGGAGGACCCGGCCAGGGCTGACCGCCCCTGACCGCGGGAGGCCCACCCCGGACCCGCGGGAGGCCCCGCGCGAGCGCGCTGCCCCTACCTGCTCGGCCGAGGCGGCGGCGGCGGCGGCGGCGACGTCGGCGCCCTGGCCCGGGGGGCTGCTGAGCGCTGCTCCGCTGAGGCCCGGGGTCGCCAGCGCGGGTTCGGGGCCGGCGGCGGCGGTGGCGGTGGCGGTGCTGGCCTCGCCGAGCCCTGGGCCCGGGGCCCGGAAGGCCTCCTCGCTCTCTGACAGGCCCTTCTCCTGCAGCATCTCCTGCGGGCACAGCACACCCAGAGTCACTCGGCCCCGATCCACACCGTCCGGAGGCCCCGCGGCCCTGTGGAGCGGAGGCCCCCCCAGGCTTCGAGTGGGTGCCCAGGCACACGTGGACCCCGCCCCTTTCTGAGCTGGGGGAGGGAGCATGCGGGAGGGCAGGACCCCAGCCTCCTCCCTCCAGGTTCTGGACCTGGGAGGGTCTACGTGCAGTTTAAGGTCTTGCCTGCCCCTGAGACTTAGGACCATTTGATGAGCAGGTCTCTGAGGAAGGACCGCCTTCTCGGCTTGGTCTCAGCCGCTGTCCCTCCCTCCCTCCCTCGACTGGAGCCCAAGGCCTGGGTCTTCTGGTCCATTCCTAGATAACTGGGGTCTCACTCTCTGGCCCAGGGTCTTGCTGGAGGGGAGAGCTAGGCCTGAAGTTAGAGACCGCGTTCCTGCAGCCCCACACCTGTGGAGGGCTCAGAGCTGGGGTACCTCAGGCCGGCGCCCCAGCCCGGGCTGGCTCAGTGAAGACACCCCGACCGGCACTCTCCTCACCCAAGAAGCTCTCTCTCTCTCTCTCTCTCTCTCTCTCTCTCTCTGCCCCTCTGATTCAGACCCTGAACTCTGCCAGGGGCCTCCTCAACCTGTCCTCACACTCACACAGGCTGGCTTACACGCTCGCTCTTTAGTTCCAAAAACGAATCTGCTTTGGGCCAAAAGGATTCAAAACCTTGTTAGCTAAACATTAGGCCAGTAAGGCGGTCCAGTGTCCGTTTCGCAGAGCCTGGCCTTGGTCAGGCCACAGCTAAACTTCCCCTAAGCATCCGGGCCTATTCACCTGCCTGCCCACCAGCGCGTTCTGGTCCTGGGGACACCAGAGGTCTCGCTTGCAAGGACCAGCCTGGCCTGCGTCCCTCGGGAGTGCTGGTGTGATGCCCTGCTCTGCGCCCTCCTTCCCGCCAGCCACCCTGCTCTTCCTCCGGGGGCTAGCCAAGTTCTAGCAGGCTTTCTGTGTGTCTCGGCGAAATGTCTCCCCTTTCCCCTCCCACACCCCTTCTGCTCTACCCCAGGTCGCTCCGACCATCCCCAGGCCCCTCGCCCAGCCGGCTCTCAGCCTCTGCACCCTGGCTGAGACTCCCGGGCCTCCAAAGTAAACAAGCCAAGTGCAACCGAGCAGATAAAAAGGGGGCCGGGGCCGGCTGGGCTGGGAAAAGCCCATAAAGATAAGGCTGACAGCCCAGCGGGTCTCGGCCACCGCCAGCCTGGGACAAGCAGGGGTCGCTGGACCCGGCCTGCCCCTGCACCCGGCTTGAGCCACATGCTGGTTCCCAGGCTGAGCTTCGAAAATCCGGGATTCCCGCAAACGGGGGCGGGGGTGGGGACCGCTGCCGGGTCCCGGCCAGGGCGGCCGGGTGCGGAGGCTCGGGGTCCAGGAGCGGGAGGTCGCTTGTCACCCGGAGCCCAGCGGCGGCCTTGCAGCTGCTGGCCCGGCCCGCCCTGCCCTCCTACACCCGCGGCCAGAACTGCTCTGCGCTCTCCCTAAGCCACCGTCTTCCTCGCCGCTGTGGGCCACCCTCTCGGTCCCTGCATGCTCCGAGGCTGGCATTTGGGGTCCCACCTTCACCCCAGCCCGGCGCCAGGGCCGCCCCCGTCTACCCGCTGCGGGGTCAGCCCGCGGACTCCGCTACCTCTGTGCTACCTCAATTTTCCCGGCAGGAAAAAAATAAAAAGGAGGGTAGCGGGTTTTCATTTTCCTATTTTTACTAGCGAACTTTACCCTTACACTAAGGGGATTTTTAAACATTTATATATATATATTTTACTATTTTCTTTTTCTTTTAGTGATTTAATTGTTGTCGCCAAAGTAAAACTCTGGTCAGTTCGGTAACGTGAAGAATGTTTAATCCCCAGCTCCGGGGTTAGTTGTGATTCTAACACTGTAAGGATAAAGCGGAGTTTGAGTATCACTCCGGAGTCGGCTTTCCCGTTACTGTTTCGTCCTTCAGGGCTCCCCGGTAATTAGATACAGTGTTCATCTGGCCCTGGGACTCTGGCATTATTTTAGTCGTGCTGGGCATCCCATTCGAGTTCCCACTTCCAGCTCTTTGCTCTACGTGAATTCTCACGGGTTGACATTCAGCACAGCTGTCATATCATTGCCCCGATGTTCAGCTTAATTTTCCTTACATCGTTATAATAGTTCTGATCCTACCGCGATTGGCTTTGTTGGGATCGCTCGTGCTACTCATCGCCTCCCTGTAATAGTATCTCCTCCTTACTCGTCACTCTGTCGCTGTGTGCAAGATGGATCTTAATTTGCCTGTTATTTTCCATCACTTCACGGCTTCTTGTTACTTCCTTAATACTCTGGTTATTTTTCAGCACGCTGGTACAATCCTTACTACTTGGACATTATTTATAACGTTAGGACTATCGATACTTGCTCAGAAATTGTCATTACTCCGGCAATCCTCATCACCGCGTCTCTACGTGTTTTAAGATTACTTGTTAACATTCTGGTTAATATTTAATATTGACATGATATCAACAATGCATCGTGCGATGGTCTCACAACGCTACTGGAGAATTTCCCATAATACATGTGTTGTTCGTTTTTTTCCCCTGGTTCGTTTCCTACGGTACTTCGGTTTAGTAATTTGCTACAATATAGTAGCAAATAAGTAGTAAAATGCTACAATAGCATTATTCCTTAAATACTACGGATAGTGACTTTGTCTCTGCTTTTGAAGTTACTTTGACTTCAGCCCTTTTCAAATTGTTGGTACTCTTTTCATTTGATCCTGAAAAAGACTGTTGTGCTGACGAAAACCCTAAGTGTTGCATTAGCTAAGCGGTTCGCTCTGTTTCTTCGGTAATGGCTCACCTTCTGGCAGTTTTGAGCTGCTGTTACTTTTGTGATGGGCACTGATTTAAATCTGAGGAGTCTGCAGCATCAAACAGCCCAAGGTCCTGGTGGCCCACATTTCTGCGTGGTTTTTCAGTTTTCACCACCAGCCCTAAGCCCTCTTCTTTGGCCTTTCTTATTCTGAAAATTCAAATTTCAAGGCCACCGCTCTCGTGCCTGCGAAGCTGCTTCTTAAGGTCCCTAGACCCATTTAGTCTCCTCACTATAGACAAGGGCTTGCTGTGCCCCTGCCGCTGGGTGTTGCCCGGGACAGAGACCTGACTACTGAGGCTCAGTCGAGATCCCCCTACGGCTTTGACCAGGCCCATACCGAGTCGTCTCCTGTTCAGCTCATCCCCCTGGATTCTGCTGCTTAAGCCCTGAGATGAGTGACCCCAGCCCCGCGCCCTGCTCACCCGCGACCAACTGGAGCCCACACTCACCCTAAGTGTGCCGCAGCATGCGGAGGCTCCTGCGGCCCCAGGTCCGCACCCAGCTCGGGCCCTAAAGGAGCAGAACGGTAGAGGCTCTGCCCGGGCTTCTGGGTCACCGGCCCGCTGCCCGCTGCGCCCTCGAGGCCGGGCGGCGCATCCCCGGTGCGGAGCGGGCCCTTGATCTCCTAGGCTGCGCTTTGGGGCCTCTGCTCCCTCCTCCTGGTCCTCCCTCCCTCCAGGGCCGCCGCCCCCCCTCCGTGCTGACGTCGCAGCTGTCAATCAGGTCTCGCCCGCCGTCCCCCCCCTCCCGCCCCCCGGAGAGGGGAGATTCTAGGTTTCCTGGGACTCCTCCGTCGTCCCGGACCCCAAGCCTCGATCGCGCTGCAGGCTTTTCGGCAAGCAACCGGGTGTCCTCCCTGGGGTCCTCGGGCTGGACAGGGGCCTGGAGCCCCGCATGGTTTAGATTAGAGAGAGAGGAGGCAAAGGGGGACGGGCGGCTGGGTCGCGGTGCCCTGCTCCCACTGAGGCTGGACCGCCAGGCCCTCTTCCAGGCGTCCAGGGCTGGGCCTGGTCCCTGGCCGATCAGCTCCCCGCACTGGCTCTCCCACAGCCCTGCCAGGACTTGGGAGCCTACGCTGAAGGCACACACGACGAGTATGACTCCTGAACACCCATGTTCACACCCGCAGCCCTGTGCCCGGGATCTGGCCTGACGACCGTGGGTGCCCCACCAGCCTGAGGAGCCTAGGAGTGGGGAGCGGGGCACCAAGGAGCGCAGGGAGGAGGCTGGGTGGCTGGGCCTGGCCGGGCTGGGCCTGTAGCTACTAGGAGATGCTGAACTAGCCTCAGTCGGAGCTTGGGCCCTGACCCGGCCTCAGCTAGACTTGGGGTACCAGAAGCAGCTAAGCCCTTTGAGGAAACTGCAGCAGAGAGGCAGGCTTGGGCCAGGAGGTCCCCATATCCAACTCAGTACACACTTGAGCCAAGCGCAGCGCCTTCTGTCTGAGCCTGAGGAAGTGAGGCCTGCTTAGCCGCCTAGGCTGCGTGCCTTCCTCTCGGTCCCCTTACCTTTCTTTCTCTTTACATCTGCTCTCACCTCCCACAACCTCTGGGGTACACAGACTCCTGTGGCCTTCACCCCACGCGTTTCTGGGTTTCACAGCCTGCCACATGCCCGGGAAACTTGGTCAAGGATATGCCTGCCCACCCATCTCCAGAGGTCCTCCGTTAGTGGGGATCCTGGCCTTAGCTCTCAGTTCTCAGCATGACTGTCTCCCTGATCCACTGGGGCCGTCACCTACCCAATCAGCCAGGGCTTCTCTTCAAGATTCCTCCTCAGAGTGAGACTGAAGGCACAAATCAAGATCCATTCCCTAAGGAATCTGTCCCCTTTCAAAGTTGAGGGCCAGCACCAGCGCCTCCTTGGCTCAGGTGCTCCAAGAAAGAAGGAAAACAAGGGTCTTAGGAAAAACAAACTAACAAAAAACCTGCTGCTGTCGGGAGCCGGTGGTCCAGCATAGCACTGGTCTACGCCCAGACCCTTCCTCCCATCCACCAGGCCAGAGTGCCACGCCTTCAATCCCATTGCTTTGGAGGCAGGGGCAGGCAGACATAGAGGCCAGCCTGGTCTACAAACTGAGTTCCAGGACAGCTAAGGCTGCACAGAGAAACCC